AACTGAATTATGAGTCATTATGACTGTGATCGGTTTTGTGAGCGCTGGAGTGAAAATCAATGTCGACCTTGGTCAGGAAATATTATTCATGGAACAAAGATGAGTTATTTGTTATCTCCAGATCGATTAGCATACATTTTTCACAGGCACTGTTTTTAATCCCCTTGACAATAAGTAAAATAAATACTGAACTGCTGATGAGTGTCGAGTCTGTCGACTGGTGATATTTTTGGTTACACAATCTCTGCAGCATGTAATGTATCGACAAATCGTATTTTATTTACAATAGGTGTGACGCGAAATTAATTGTACTGTTGATGAAAGCGTCACTCAGCATAATTTGACGTTGACGATACATTATTTCTATACACATACTGTATTTTCTATTTGACGTTAACAATACATTATTTCTATATACATATTTTCTATTTGACGTTGACAATACAGTGTGACCCCCAGATGCGGATATAATTGGTGCATCAGGAGTGCCCCTATGTTGAATTGTCTGTAAGTCAAGTCTTGTTTTCCCATAGACTTACATTTTATAATTTTTAATTGGTGTTTTATGGAAGAAATATTCTTCAGAATTCCATGAAAACATTTTGTTTGCCACTTGAATTTGATTCAGTGAATATCTTTTCAACCCTGTAAGAATATTCAGAGCATTGAATAGTATACTGCTGTACAGTTCATTGAAATGTTGGCATCTGTAAAAATAATATCAAAGTCACAAAGAGAGGAGGATGTCCCTCTGTGTTATAGGTTTTTTTTTAATTAGCTGAATGGATGGGAAAAGTACCAAAGGATTTTTCTGGCATAGTTCTTAGGGTTGGAAATATCTGTTTCTTGCAATTGAGCTGAATAAAAATCAATTTTCCTAAAAATATTTGTCAATTTTATCCCGCAATGTTCTCATGTCAAGTCAGTGTCCGTATGTTGGGCCTTTTTAATGATTTTTTATTGAAAAATGAATGTCCCTACGTTGAGGTGTCTGGATGTGGGGTCTCACTGTACTTTTAAAGGAATCTAATTTCAAAAAAAAAATTCCCTGCATTTTTATGGCCTGGATTCTATAGTCCTCACGTGCAAGTTTTGGAAAATATCTGGCATTTTTCGTCAGTTTTCTGACGAAAAATGTAAATTTCGATTTTATTGTCGCATTGCATGAAAATTGTTATGCACGCACAAGACGCATGCATTTTTTTCTTTCAATGGAGCATAAACCAGTTTGGTAATGCTATGCCAGATTGAAGTCAATTTCGCTTTTCGCAAAAGAGTCATGAAACAAAATATAAAACCTGTGCGACCACTTACGCAATGACAATTCACCTCAATGTTGAATGACTCCTATTTCACCCGCATCATGAAAGCTCATTTTTCAAGTTTTCAAACTTGATTTTGATCTGCAATTATGTATGCTTCAAGCTTTACGTTCGACACTCGAAATGCGATACAAGTTTAATAAATGTGGGAAAATAAATGGAGTTGCAATGAAGGAAAGAAATGAAGTGAGGTCACGTGACTTTACCTACCCCCCCCCCCCCCCGAATTTCATCATGCATTGAGCGCTTGGAAATTTATCATTCATTCAATTTCATTTCTAAAGTTCAACTGAATTCCTGCTTTTCGTTTTACTTCAATCGTATACCTGAAAGCTGTTCAGCGTAGAGACCGTAAGGACATCGTTGTGGATTGTTTTGTCCCTGAGGCAAAGAATCCGGGCATCTCGGGTCTTCGGATGAGAACTCCGATCCAAAACCTGACAAATACTAAAAACAAACTTATTGTTAATCCAAGAAATGCGTGGGAAATGGTAATTCGATGCATGCAATATTTCAGACCATCGAATATACGATGTTGTGAATACTCACTCGAAGCTCAGCTTCCTTCATGATGTCGGGGTCAGATCAAATGAATTCACTGTTGGTTTTCGAACTCGGTCGAAAATATATTCCCCTTGTTTTTTTGCGTTATCGTAATGTCAGCTGAGAAACTGCGTAACGATTCGACATGCTTTCTGCAGAACGGACACAGTGATCTGTTCGAATGCCAAATGTCAAATTGCTCTTTTATGGCAGAAATTTTCGTGGCTGTCCGTGGGTTACACGACTTTTTTTTCGCCTTCGCGACTCGACATTCTATCAAACCTCGTTTTCTTACGTGGAATTTATGCGGGTTCTACGTTCGTAAGTGCTGAAATTCAACTTGAAGTTGTCACTTGATGATAGGCCGCTTTCTGAATTTGTACGGAAATCTCCGGAGAAATGAAAAATACCGGAACCTTTGCATGGAAGGGATATGTGGTACTCTTCAACAATTGATGAAAACCGGAACTGCATTTGGGTCCATGAACTACGAGGTTCTCACACTGTAAACATTATTTTGCTCTGGAAAATTGAAATACAGCACAGTTTTCGACAAGTCGATGTTTAATTCTGTACCTGTAATAAATTCAAATTTTCGAGGCATTGCACGTCATTATATGATATGTCTGTGGAATAATGAGAAACAACACGAGTCTCCAGACACATAATCTCGATTAGAATAAAATCGGATTATTCAAGTTATTTTGGCTCATCTATAAAAAAATATTTCGACTACCTGTTTAGTCTTCTTCAGCGTTTTTGGGACAGTATTAGTGCGACCAGACTAAGTAATTTTAGCACAGTGTTCGAGGTGGGGCTTGGAAAAATTCTATTGCGTTGAACGCACGTATTAGCGACATCTCTGAATGGAAATATCAAAATTTAATCCATCTTCTCGTGAATAAGTTGGATACATTTTCAGCGTTCAGTTTTCAAGTACTGTACAGTATATCTGGTGTTCGTTGATGTGGATGACGTTTGCGTGATGGTATATTAGTTACTGTATTTATTTGAGTACCGCATGCCGTCAAGGAAGAGGTGGGTTTTCAGTCTAAAATTTTGAAAAAGTTTTATTCAAATGTGTCAAGACGCGCACTCCATTTTCAGTGACTCGAAAACAGGAATATTTCAAAGATAAGAACACTCAAATTTGATACATACATGGAATGAACTTGAATTCAACTGATTTTCCATCGTTTTCATGAGAATAAGTAAAATTGGTCCAAATTCTGATGGAGTTCGTCCTAAATTTCCCATGAGAATCGAGTATAATGCATACCCAAGCTTCTAAAATTCAAACCCACCTATGGAACGCACCCCATTTGATCCTTTTGATTTTGAGGAAAAAAGGGTGCATGGGGTACTCATGTAAATACGGATGCTGTACTGTGTATTTTTCTCTTCTCTAATTGTCTGCAATGCGTACGTTCGTGGAGGAAAAAATAGTGCTGGCTTAGATCACGAATTTTGCTACAATTTTCGCGCGCAAAATAGTTTCTTTTGTTTTCTCTGACTCACTCGCAAATTGGATCCTGACGCACGGAAGGATGAAATGTCATTTGTATAACAAAAAGTTTTATTGTTGGATTTTCACGCAGACTGGCGTAAAGCCAGAAAATCACTGGCAAGTTTCCACTCTCCACGTGTATGTGAGCAGCTCAATATGAATGGGCAAGAATCGGGCAGAAGCCCGGGGTTCTCTTTATTTGTTTGACATAAGGTAGAGAGAGAGACACGTAATTCAAGATGCAAGAATTCGATCTGCATTGCAAGATCAGAGTTTGAGAGTCAAAGTAAACAAGGAGTAACTTCACGAATTATATAATCCCTCGTTGGCGTGAGATCCTCGAAGTAAAATTCTGTGCTGCTTTCAGCTTCTTTGCTGAACTTTTTTTTTCTCTCGTGTAATTGCTGTTCTGTTTTGGCACAGTATAGCATTTATTTGCATACGGTGTATCAACTTCTTTGTTTGCCACTTTGTTTAACAGCTTGCCAGAGAATTTTTCCCTATAAATTTGCTGAGAATTTAGTGTACTACTGATAGAAACAAGCTTAAGAAAGATTTACAAATACTAGAATTCAATGAATAGACCCTTTCTGAAATCTTATAGGATCAAGATAAACTGTTGGCTTTATATGATTTCTCATCAAATGACAACTTCAAGTTGAATTTCAGCACTTACGAACGTAGAACCCGCATAAATTCCACGTAAGAAAACGAGGTTTGATAGAATGTCGAGTCGCGAAGGCGAAAAAAAAGTCGTGTAACCC